AAATGACACAACTGAAAAGAGACAGAGTTTGGTGGTCCCTCCAGAGATGACACAGTTTTTGGAGGACCAGGCAATTCTACAATGAGATACATATCCATCAGAGTGAAAAACATATCCACACTGACTTGTACACCAATGTCTACAACAGTAGTACTCATGACAGCCAAAAAGTGAAAACAGACCAAATGTCCACCAACTGATGAATGGCTAAAATGCTGCTCCCCTGCCTCTAGGCAGTCACCGTCACCTTCCCCAATGTGCTGCATTTCCATACAGTGAAATAGTCTATCCATCAGTCCATAAAAAGAAATGAAGCACTTACCACGATACAATATAGATGAACTTTGAAAACACCTTCTTCAATGAAAAGAAACCGACACAAAAAACTATGCATTTTGATTCCAGCTATATGAACATGCCAAGAATAGGAAAATCCACAGAAAAAAGGTGACTGATAGTGGGCAGGGGTCATGGTTTGGCGGAAATAAGACTTACCACTAACGCATCAGATTTCTTTTTAAGGTGACATACATGTTCCACAATTGACTGTGGTAAAGTCACACAACTCCGTGACTATATTAAAAACAATCACCTGTACAGCTTAAATGAGTGTTCTGTACGTCATCTGAAGTCTACCTAAGTTAAGCCATTACCAAGCAAAAAGTTCTTCAAGAAGACCCATGGCCTCAGAGGCTGCCAGAAAACAGGACTGGCAGGAGCCAGGCATGATAGCATATCCCTACTATGCCAGCACTCTGGAAGATTCAGGCAGCAAGAGCAAAAATTTAATTCCAGCCAACACAATTTAATGACTTAATGAGATGCTGCCTCAAAATTAAAATAAATAAATAAATAATAAAGAGGGCTCAATGCAAAGGACCTGGGTTCAATCTCCAATACCACCAAAAAACAAGAACACAAGAAAAAACAGAAAAAGATCAACCAAGAACTAAATGCAACAAACTGACTGCCACAGGAAAAGTGCTGGGGCTGAGCCTAGGAAGACAATGGCCTTAATGAGGCTACAGGGAGGAGAGTTAGATGCCTTTCAGTAGGTGGGGAACACTGGTCTCAACGACTTCAAGACACAGACAATGGCATCCTTGACATTGATGGAAAAAGCTACTGAAAGGGACAACATTGACACTGCACTTAAAGAGAGGGACATGGGAAGAGGCCTGCACCCTGAGTCTACCTAGGCCACACAGCCTCTCTTCATCCCAAGGCTCATGAACACCTACTGATTGTGGAGACCCCCAGCTCACACTAATGATCACGTGTCACCTCCACTCTCGCAACAGCTCTACAACCCCACGTCTAGAACAATGAAAGGGCAGCTCAGGAGCTGACTATGCAAAAATGACTTCTTGTTCAGAATAAACAGTGGGACCAAGGGCCAAAACAGCCTGATCATGTAAGGGTGGGGCTGCGATCCAAAGCACAGCCTGAAAGCATTCATCTTCTCAGTTTACTTCTAGTAAAGATGTAAGCGGCCAAAACCTCAAGGGTCAAAAACCCAGCCTTATCTAGCAAAACTCAGATATGTGTCCCTGGCCACTCCTTTGCAGGCAAGTGGGCAGTAATAACAGGAATCCAATCTGGGAATTAGAGGGTATTCTTACAGTCACTACCAGAAAGCTGGAAACATCACAGGCCTCCCTGGCCACCTGCCGGTCCCAAGGGGTTCCTGGCCTGGGAGGCCACTCATAAAGGGTAAGTCAGAGGTCCTCAGAGTGTGGGCAAGGGAAATCTCTTCAGAGGGCAACTGGGCCAAACTACTTCACAGCACTATTGAATAAGCCCTTCTCCTTCTCCACAAGGGAGAGTTGAGCTTCCAGGGATACAGGGAGTGTAATGGCCCATAACTCCGCCAGCCACCACAACACGTGCTACATATTCTTGTGCTTAACATTTTCTCAGTCTTTAATACAATCAGTATCTATGCTTATAACTTACATAAACAAGAACTCAGGGGTTTCCTAAATTCTTGGGATTTGTAATTAAAATTATGGAGGTATCATTTTTAAGAAAATATAGGGGCCAGGGAGATAGCTCAGTAGAATAGGCGCAGGCCTGGCAAGCACAAGGGCCTGAGTTCAATCCCTGGTTCCAAAAAAAAAAAGAGAGAGAGAGAGAAAGTTTGAAGACTGAAATCTTTTAAGGTATTTATGGTAAAATTGCATGTGATGTCAAAGGACTCAAAGCAATCTAAAGGTCTTCAGCAAGAACAGTTCAGTAACTGCAGCCCAGCCATCCTGCAAGGCACAAGGATGTCAGGAGTGCTAATGAGAACACAGTAGGCTGAACAAGATGTTCCAGAGATCCCAGGATGTTAAGTACAAAACCATGAGTACAATGTTCATGCACAGGTTGGGGATGTAGCTCAGTGGTAGAGCATGTGCTCAACATGCGCAGTCACCAACACCAAAAAAAAAAAAAAAAAAAAACAGTATTTTCAGAGAGAATGCTTTTGGGTAGAGAGGAAGAGACTTTCAAAATGTAAAAGCAAAAACAAATCACCTATCACTTGGCCGTAAAAGGACCATGTCCTTCATCATTGTCATGTCTGTTTCAGATCCAGATTAGACACCTTCCTCCTCAGAAGCAGACTCCCTGGGAAGCAACAAAAGGACTATGCACAGAGTAGGGCTTGTTTCTAACAAGAAAGAACTCCTTCGCAGACTTGACCACCAGCAGAGGGGTGTGTTCGTCAGCACAGGTACATGCTGAGCAAAGGTAAACAGAATGATGAGCAGATCTTCTAAAACCTAGTAAAAACCACAGAGTTAAAGTTTCCTTCATTCAAGAATGTGCCACTTTCACAGTTCAGATTTCTTCTCCGTAAGTAGCATAACTCAAACCCCAAAACATAAATTAAGGCCTTGGAATGTGAGTGAGGGTCCACAAAGCCAGTGGGGAACAGCCCACTCCTGTGAACACAGCTACACATGTTAGAAAACACAGGTACTATTTTACTTAGATTTGTATCCCAAGTTATGCTGCACAACTAACCTACGTATATCTACATATTTTGTATCTAAATACTCCCTTTAGATGCAAACATAATATAGAATTCCATACAGCCTTTAAGAAAAATAAAAACTCAAAGAGAGCCTGTCACTAAACAAAACTGAGTTAAGTTACCCATTTTGATACCAACAGATAGAAATATGAGTACCAGTTAAAAAAAAATTCAAATATTTCTAGAAAGAATATTTGTGCAGCAAATGTTTTTCCCTTTGAGACTATACTGTCCCGCCATGCTTAATTTTCCTGACATTTCTGAGGTTTAGAAGCCACAGCTAACGGATCTGAATCATCTGAACAAAACCATGTTACAGTGACATGTTACTGGAAAGCCTAGAATAGAATGCTAAATATACAGGCACACACCCATACAGACTCTTCTGTAGAGAAGGATCACACGTGAAACTGTATCAAGTTGTCCATAACAAAGTCCAAAGGGAAGCAGTATATTTCCAGCAGGTAAATATAACATACAGGTGCCTGGAAGTCAAATGACAAAATACAAGAATAGGGACTACCTTTTATTAATAAAAGCTAAAACTAGTCTATGAACTCAATGAAACTCTTCATCATACTTGCTGCCAGCAAAGAAACAAGAACCTCCCCTGAAATCTAAATCAGGCTTGGATCCGCAGAGCACAACTCCCAACCCTGGCACTGCTCCAACTGTTCACCTAAGGAAAGGAGGGAGGGAAGTACGTGGCTCCACAGCTCCATCTGTGACATTACCCTTTCTTCTTAAACAAGCATGCCACTTGGAGCCGCATTCTGCTTTATTTGGGTTGGCAGTTTAAGTACCAACAGCAGGGTGGCACCATGGCTGCACACTGAACTAGGTCAGCCTCGGCCTGTTCTGGGGAGCTCCCAGTGTGCCCTGGGCCTCTCAGTTCCCTCCTGCCTCCCAGAGGAGAAGGCAAGAGATTCCTGGGTGGGAACGGGGACTGGATGGGTGCAGCCGTGGAAGGTAAAGGCCTAAGGTAGTCAGCATCACTTTTCAGGCCTCCAAGACCTTCTTCTCAGCACCTTTTTCCTTAATAAACAAGGAATATAAAGTCCTCCAAGATTTTCAATAGATTCCACTCATTTGAAGACACAAGAAGATCACAAGTTATAAGGCCAGATGAATACATCCTAGATCCGGGGTATCCAGGAAAACAGGGGCCAGCAGACAAGAGACCAGGGTCTGGGCTTGAGGGGCCAGTGAAAAGGGTTCAAGGGCCAGCCAGGCTTGGGGCTAAGGTTCAGGATCCATAGGAAGAGTAGGGGAGGGGCAATTCAGGGATAGAAGCAAGGGAGCAGAGTTAGCCTATGTCTGGGTTCCAGGTTCAGAGGCCCAGGAGAGAGTGGAGCCAGAAGTTGGAATTTGGAGGAGGTAGAGATTCAGGATCAGGCTGCAAAAGGTTGGCAGCAAGGTATCAAAATTTGAAGGCAGGTGATCTGAAGCCAGAATCCAAGGTTTGGGATCCAGGGTTCAGGGTTTGGGGGCTAAGAATTAGGGTAGGAACCTTCAGGGTCTGTGGCTGTGGTGAAACATGAGGGCTGGGGCCCAGGGTTTGGGGATGAGACACAGAGGTTTCAGTCTCTGAATTTCTGGGCCAGTGATGGAGATAGGGACCCTATGCTATCTCCAGGGATAGGATCCAGAGCCACGGATCCGCATCAGAGTCGGGAACCGTGGCTGAGCTGGAGCTGTGATGGCCACAGACTGGGTTGGTGGAGTCTAGGTTAGGACAGGAGCTGGCCCTTCAAGTTTTGAGCTCAGGATACAGGAAAGGGGTCCCAAGCTCAGGAATCAGGTCCGGGACCCGGATGGGAGGTTTCCTGGCCTGAATCCTCGGCTGAGGGGTCCGGGCCAAGTCCAGAGCTTTGCTGATCCGGGGTCCCTAGCAGGGGCTGGAGGAATGTCGGGGCCAGGGTCTGGGGGATTCCTGGCCGGGACTGCCGCTCCTCCCCGGCCGCGGCGCGGCACTTACGTCGTCGAAGAGCGAGCCCACGTTGGCCGTGACTAGCAGCACCGCGGTGCCCGGGGCGGCTGCTTTCCCCGCCATCGTGCAGGGAGGCGCGAGCGCTGGGCTGGGCGGTGGCGGCCGCTTCCTGCGGGGCCAGCTGGGCCGGGGTCTCGCGGGGCCGCGGGGCGTCAGCTCCGCCGGGGGT